ATTAAAGAAGCTCATGAAGTCGTAACTACTGAGAGCTATGGGAATACTGGCTGGCTACAGTGCTGAAAAGAACCCTGGGGTTGTTCCTATTTTCCTCTATTAATGACGAGTAGTACGCTGCTCTGGCATTACGGAGGACCTTCCTATAAGTTTTAAGACTATCTTGCCAAATTAAACGAGAATTTTCCAGTTTGGTGGAACGCCAATTCTCACGTTTCCGCGATATTTGCTTTAATTTGCAAGTTTCAGTATTATACCATGGAGCTAACCGTCTTTGTTTTATTATTTTCTTTTTTAGAGGAGCTACAGAGTCGAGTGTCATTTGCAGCGAGCCTGCAGCACTATCAACAAGATGATCGATTTGGGAGGGACTGAAATTAGCATAGGAGTCCTCAGTTACTTTGTGACTAGATAATGAATTTAGAGCTGATGGAATCGCATCCTTAAATTTAGCTACAGCACTATCAGACAGACATCTTGTATAGAAATTTTTGCCCAATGGCGTGTAGTTCAACAATACAAACTCAAAAGTTATCAAACAGTGGTCAGATAAAGAGGGATTCTGTGGGAACACTATTAAATGTTCAATTTCAATATATACCAGAACAAGGTCGAGGGTGTGGTTAAAACAGTGAGTCGGTTCATGAACACTCTGAGAGAAGCCAATGGAATCTAACAGAGATGAACGCAGTACTGAAGCTGTCATTCTCAACATCTACATGATTATTAAAATCCCGTACAATAATAACTTTGTCCGTTTTAAGGACTAAAGTTGACAAAAACTCTGCAAATTCAGATAATTCAGAGTACGGGCCAGGTGCTCGGTACACTATAACGAAAAGAATTGGTTGCAGTGATTTCCAACTTGGGTGTGAAAGACTAAGAACAAGGCTTTCAAATGAGTTATAGTTTAGGTTTAGAGCTGATTAGTAGGCTAGAGTCGAAGATAGCTGCAACTCAACCTCCTTGGCCTGTGCCTCGAGGAATGTGAGTATTAATATGAGGGGTGGATTCATTTAGGCTAACATATTCTCCATCACCCAGCCAGGTTTCAGTAAGGCAAAATAAATCAATATCATAATCTGATATTAGGTCATTTACTAGTACACCTTTAGAAGAGAGAGATCTGATGTTTAAGAGTCCACATTTAATTTTACTATTGTTTTGCACTATTGCTCTTGTGGTTTTAATTTTTATGAGGTTTTTATGCACAGCTCCTCTTCTGTTTACCTTTGATTTAAATAATTTCAATGGTCGGGGGACAGACACCATCACTATAGGATTTTCACTAAGTAACTCCTGTTTGTTTAGCAGCACAACAGGCTACCAACACACAAGCAACGGAAACAGAAATGAGTCAACACGCTTACCGCTGTACGTCATCAATCGTCACCAGATCACAATTTTGTCCAGTCCCATTTGCCACCGCCACCTGCACGTCTGTCTGAAGAGGTCAATAGTAATTATTGTTGGTCAGATTGTTCACAAATCCACTCACTGTTTTAACCACACCCTTGATCTTGTATTGTCATATGGCATTGAACATTTAGCAGTTTTTCCACAAAATCCTGTTCTGTCTAACCACTTTTTGATAACCTTCGAGATTTTGCTACTAGACTACATGCCTTTAGTCAAATATTCTTAAACTAGATCTCTATCTACCTCTATAGATTATTACATAAAAAACAATCCGATGCCTGTATCACAGTGTTTATAGCCGTGGCTAATTTGCAAAACGTATAAGCTTGCTTATAAGATATCTAATCCTGGATGACCTGTAATTTCCTCATGTTGAACTCAGACAAAACTGAAGTTATTTTACTTGGGCCCAAACACATTCAAGATATACTGTCCAACGACATTGCTACTATGGATGGCATCGCCTTGGCCCCCAGTACCACTGTGAGGAACATGGGAGTTATTTTCGATCAGGAAAAGTCCTTCAACCTGCATGTTACGCAAATTTCAAGAACGGCCTATTTTCATTTACGTAACATTGCTAAAATCAGGAAAATACTGTCTCAAAAAAATGCAGAAAAACTGGTCCACGCTTTCATTACTTCCAGGCTTGACTACTCTAAAGCCTCTCCAGCTGATCCACAATGCAGCAGCGCGTGTTCTGTCTAGAGTCAAGATTAGAGAGCATATTTCTCCTCTTCTAGCCTCCCTTCACTGGCTCCCTGTGAAATACAGAATAGATTTTAAAATTGTTCTACTTACCTACAAAGCCTTAAATGGCCAGGCACCATTGTACATCAAAGAACTCCTGATACCTTACTGCTCCAATAGAGCACTGCGCTCTCAAAATGCAGGGCTGCTTGTGGTACCTAAAGTAACTAAGGTTAGAGTGGGACAAAGAGCATTTACTTATCAAGTGCCTCTACTATGGAACCAGGTTCCAATTTGGGTGCAGGAATCAGATAACATCACCACTTTTAAGGCTAGACTTAAGACTTTTCTGTTTAATAAAGCTTTTAGTTAGGATGGTGTTGAGCAAACTATAAATTGTTATAAAATTTTATCATTTTATTTAGTGGATTTTATTCTGATTGTATTATGTGTTTATTAAATGCATTCTGTATTTTATGGTTAATTTTATTTAATTTCAATGCTTTTTGTTAAGTGTATTGGGACCATGTCTTTTGGTGATTTTGCACTTTAAAATAAAACCTGACTTGACTTGACTTCCGTTTCTGGGCACCATCATCTCCCAGGACCTCAAGTGGGAGCTAAACATCACCTCCCTCACCAAGAAGGCCCAGCAGAGGATGTACTTCCTGCGGCAGCTGAAGAAGTTCAGCCTGCCAAAGACAATGATGTTGCACTTCTACACCGCCAGCATTGAGTCCATCCTCACCTCCTCCATCATCATCTGGTACGCTGCTGCCACTGCCAGGGACAAGGGCAGGCTGCAGTGTATCATTCACTCTGCAGAGAAGGTGATTGGCTGCAATCTTCCATCTCTTCAGGGCCTGTACGCCTCCAGGACTCTGAGGCAAGCAGGAAAGATTGCAGCTGACCCCTGCCACCCTGGACACAAACTGTTTCAGACTCTCCCCTCTGGCAGGAGGCTGCGGTCCATCAGGACCAAAACCTCTCGCCACAAAAACAGCTTCTTCCCGTCTGCAGCTACCCTCATTAACAAGGCCTGGGTCCCCAACTGACACTCCCCCCGTTCATAAAATACAAATGTCTCTGCAAATGTAAATATTATTTCATTTCATATCATGCACAAACCTGGCACATTGCACATATTTGGTGTTAATTGTTAATCGTTGTTGTTCACAATATTTTCTCCCGTTGCAATACGTCTGCACAACACAAACCGGAGTAATGCACATGTAAATATCTGCCACATTGTTCTTTCTCTGCAAATAGTTGTATTATTTTTCTCTATTGTTTTTATTATTCTTATATAAATTGCACTGTTTATTCCATATTTATATATTTCTACATTTATTTATGTCAACTGTTTGTGTACGTATAGCACCTTATCACCAAAGCAAATTCCTCGTGTATAAAACACTACTTGGCAATAAAGCTCCAGATACTTCTTCTGATTCTAAAAGCTGAGCAGAGCACTGAGTGGAAGGAGCCTGCTATCTACCATTTCCCCCAAAGAACTTGAATGCAACGCCACAGCAGTAGGAGTCTTCATGCGCATGCTCGCAGCTTTAGCATTAGTATACTGTGGTGTGTGCTAATTACGGTGTGTTGTCATCTAGCTACATCGGTGTGTGATTCTTGTATGTAGATGTCAGTGTATACGGGGGCAAAAAGCCGTCCATGCATTGCATAGAGAAGTTGTAGCTACCGTAGAGCTATCGGCGTGTCGCTGGAGGAAACGGACTGACGTTAACGTTATGTCGGCAAATAAAACAAAGAAAGTCAAAATGGCTACTAAATCTTGTCCTGAATGCGACCAACAGGTGAGAAAATAACGTACATTTAAACATTCGAGCGTTATTACTGATAAGTTTATTGAATTTAGCTGTCCTTGCATCAAACACAGGGCAGTTTTCAGGTCTTTAGACGGAAATGGGCTTCCGTGGCAGCACGTTAACGCTACGTTGTGTGAGCCAAATCCCACTCAAAGGTTGAACGAGTTGTTGGTTTTCTGTTGAGCAAAGATCTGAAATATCGATCTAAGACACATTCACACACACTTGTCAACATTTGTGTTAATCTTGTATTCAACACGTCATACATAAATACTGTTTTTATTCCTTTCATATTTGTTTTTATTATTGTATTTGTCTTCCTAATAATAGAAAAGTTAGAGAAACATAAGCTAGGGCAGCGGCTTTAAACCTTCCCTAAAACAAGTGGTGTTTAGTGAGTGTTTAAGAGTGGTGCACTTCTCACCCACATTTGGGCGTTTGGATTATTTAACATTATGTGGACTTCATTAAATTCAAATATTTGAATGGAATTTGGCGTGATCGTTTCCCCATAGACTACATTATTGCGGTAAAGTAAAAACCCGGTCAGGCCAGCCCCGTTTGGATTGTGACGCGCATCTGTTCACACAGTCTTGTTACGTGTGCACACGTGTTTTTGGGTTGGCTTTGGACGATGGGCATGTTAGTTGCTGTCACAAGAGATCCAGCAGCAGTCGTTTTATGTACATGTGTTCTAGCACAGACTTCACTCGTAAAAACATTGGTAGACTGTTAACTTACGTTACAAGTCGCGGTGGATATTTTGGGAGGAGAGAGTGTGGTGGTGGGAGACAGAGAGAGGCGGGGTATTTACCTGAGGTGTAGGTGAGTGTTTGGAGAAGAGAATTCCGAGGCAGGTGCAAAGCATACTTAAAAACAATAATAAGAGTGTTCTTGGTCATTAAAACCTGCTTTCACAGGGTGGTATAATGTGAACATTTGAGATTTTCTTTTGCTGGGGGGCAGAGAGAGAGAGGGGTCTACAGAGAGGAGTCAAAACTGTAGACATTGAGATTTGAAAATAAGGGAAATTTAAATCAATATAAGTATAATGTTTATTCCATATTATACTGTTAGTATAGTGTCAATATTACTTATAGTTACTATAGTCATTATAATTTCCTATGGTTTATCAGTAGTATAGGCCATATATCTTTTCAGTGGGTTTTCATTTAATAAATCCTTGTGCAAAAAGCACAGTCTACATCTTTTCCATAGACCAGAGGGGAGAGTAGAAAACACTTTAAATACAGCCAGCAGGTTTTATTTGATTTTATACAGGTTAAAAATACAGGAGATTTACGGGGAAACATTTAAACGGGAGGATACCGGGTGAGTACAGAACAATACAGGAGAATCCAGAGGAAAACGGGAGTCAGAGAGGAGTGCGGTAATGTGAGGCTACATCCACACTACTACAGTTTTATAACGAATACGATCTTCTCTGTCCACAGCAGCATTTTAGCTGCGTATCAAAGTTGATCTCAGTCTACACTAAATCGACTGAAAATACATCTATTGGCCTTCAGATACACAGGCATGCACGTGCTGGTGTAAACACAAAGCAGATGGTTTACACCACAGTTGCAGAACATTTGGCGCAAAATAATGTAATACAGACAAAGAACCACACCAGGGTTTTTTTTTTGCATTGACCGACAACGAAGTGGAGCCGTTACTGAAAGCAACATGGGAGTACAAAGAGACGGTGATGGCGGAAAACAGACTGGGAGTCGTCGTCAAGTAAATACGGCGACGTGCACATTGGCTAACTGTTTGTGTTACACAGTACGTATATTTGAATAATATAATAAAAATACCGAAACTAAAACTGTCAGTAGCATCGTGTTTTGCTTTGCATGGCTGATAAGACCGAATCAGAAAGACAAATGTGTCTGTGTCATCGTTCTAAAAAGTCCTCTGTTTTTACCCGGGGTCAGCGGCGTTTTTAAACTAACATCCTCCAGCCCTGTCTACACGAACAGGGGTATTTTCATAACCGTGACTTTTTTTACGCGGTTTGGCCGTTCTTCCACACGGAAACGCAGTATCAGGTCACTGAACCCAAACATTTTTGAAAACCCCTGCCAGATTACAACGTTGATTTATCTTCACTGGAGCTGTGGCTCAGGAGATAGAGCGGGTTGCCCGTTAATCGGAAGTTCGGCGGGCCGAACTGTCCAAGGACAGGCAAGATACTGAACCTGAATTGCCCCTGGCTGAATGTTAGTTTCTGTTTGAGCAGTTAGGCTCAGTGTGTGAATGGTGAATGCAGATGTAGTGTAAAAGCTCTTTGAGTAGTCGAAAAGACTAAAAAGGCGCTATACAAATACGGAGCATTTACATTCTCAGCAGCTGGCTTCCGTGCACATCCAGTTCCAGTGTTGTTGTTAGCGTTGTTAGCTGTCGGACTACGACTTCATATTTATATAAAAACTGGACATTACTTGGTGGTTAATACCTGTTGAGTTCATAAAACGTGTCTGTAACTATTCCAGCTATCATTGTACTTTACTGTGACCAAGATAGTATAGTCCTGATCGATCCAAACTCCATTCAGAAAACAAACACTTTAGAAGCTGTTGTCCTGCTGTCTTGCTGACAGACCTGACAAAGTGTGAATTCATATGTTTAACAAAACTGCATCATATTGTAGTTATTTTGCCATCAGTTTAATCCGTTTATTGCTATGTAATCACAGCAAAATGTTTACTTTGGGTTCATACAGTTGTAATAATGGCGAGTTGTGTTTATTCATGTTATCACATTAAAATCGCCTTCTTGTTTTGTGTGTGAACACTTGCAGTGAATGTACTCGCGCGAGGAAAGCGTGGCAAGGAGAAAATTCGCATTTGGTCTGAATGCTACATTAAACTCCGGTTGCGTGTTTAAGTTTCACATGATGTGGGCACCTTCTGTACTTGAAGCTGGGGAAACCCATCTCAGACTCGCAATGATGGTACACTTCTACACCGCCATGAGTCCATCCTCACCTCCCCCACCACCATCTGGTACGCTGCTGCCACTGCCAGGGACAAGGGCATATTAAGGGTTTTTCCTGCATAGAGAATTACAAGGCTCTGTCAAATATGATCCTGTCTTCAGCGCTCACCAAAACTCTGAAAGGTGTTAGGGGTTATTAGGGGAGCAACGAATCACAAAACTCACAGTTCGTATCATATTGTGGTTTTGAGTTACGGATAGGATAACTTTTCTGATCAGAAAAAATAATTCTAGGGTTAAATCTATTTTACTTTGTAGTCACCACTCTGTAGTCTTGCTTGTTAGATTGGTGACACGTCACATGTAATATCCATCAACACTGAGACTAGAGCTGCTCTGGTAAGCAAGGAGAGCTCTGTGTCGAAGAGAAGGCAGCAGATATTACTGAAGCGGGAATAATCCACAATCTGCTGATTTGTTTTTATTTAAACACAGCATGGTCTTGTGTGTGGGGGATCAACTACAATCTGTTACCCCACTAGTCTTCATAGTAAACAATATATATATATATTTTTTTTACATGTTGCACTTTGTGGATTTCTGTCATTGTAAAGGAAGTTGCTGCAATACACTGACTTGGTGCACCAGGAAAGATGATGCCAACCTCCTGAGAGAGATTTGGCTGGACTTGGGTGTGGGGGGGGGCTATAGTGGTTCTGGTGGAAACGCCGTTGCCACACACCAAACATAATCACCTAAGAAAACATAGTTAAATATCACCAGCAGGCGTTAAAAATGCAGCTGCAAGTGACTATAAAGCTAAAGTGCGTTTCCTTACACAGCTGAAATGGATGGAAATAAAGTAGTTTTAAAAATGTTTTTAATCATCTTTGTTCCTACTTTATCGAATGCAGTGGTTCAAACAGACATCTGGAGAACATTACAATACCTGCATCTGAGACATAACTGCCTCATATACTGAGAAAAGCTCAGTATTTCAATTAGGAAGTAAAAGAAATTATATGCTGTTCTATACAAGTGTAAGAGGGGATTACTCAAATTCAATTCATTTTTAAATGGGTCCGCAGCGTTTTCAAACTTCAATGTTTTAGGTGTTCAGATCTGCTGTTTTTGGGTGGATGTAGCCTAAGGTGAGCTGGCTGAACCCTCCAATACTGGAACAAAGTTGTTGAGACATTCCCTCCAGCAAGAGGCCCATCAGCACCACAGCCTCATGCCAGAGGAACTGTTTCCTCCTGTCTGCAGTGGACTAACACTTCATACTGTCAACTTTTGCACATTCCTGCACAAACTGTACAGCCCTTACAGATTCATATTTTTTTTGACTTTTCTATGTTTAAAATAAATCCCCTCTTATGTTTATTGTTGTGCACTAAAATACCAAAGCAATTGTATGTGAAAACCTACTTGGCAATAAACTAGAACTAGGTCAATTATGATTTGGCTTCCAAGAATTATCAAAACAAGATCATTGAGTTAAAACATTATTGTGCCGCATTCCATTTCGCATTGATGCTCTCTTTTTGTCTTTTGTTATAAATCCAGCATGATGTTTCCTAAGTCATTGAGTAAATGTTTAATAATCGTGATGTCAATATTGACCAAAATAATTGTTATTTTTATTGTTGCCATAATCAAGCAGCCCTACAATAAACCCAACGCAGACTGAATTGTAATAACTTGGGAGTCTCAGTTGGATAGCAAAAACATTAGCAATAAGTTTAAAATCATTCAGAAGTGTAGTAAGCCTTAGATTGTCCTGGCATCTGAGTCTAGGGATTTGTTCAATTTGAAATGATTCATAGCCAAACACAACAGCACAGGACAATTAATTATTGTGACAGTCCTAACCCTGAGGTATGATCATAACATCACTGGGTGCTCCATAGCTCAGCCATGTATGACAGTATTAGCGGATACCAGTCTGGGCTTTTATTAAAAGTAATTAATCCCACAGACAATGGGCGTGCTCAATATTTAGCGTACATTATAATCTTTTTTTGGGGGGGGGGGTTGTTCTTACATTTTGTGTTTATTGTAATGCCAAAGCCTTAGCAATAATTAAATCTTGTGTATGTTTCCTGTTTGTATCTCTCTAGATTCCAGTTGCGTGCAAGTCCTGCCCTTGTGGTTATGTGTTTATAAGCAGAAAACTCCTAAATGGTAAACTAAATGAGCGCTCTTCTCCAGCCATAGCAGGTAAGATTTGCTTTTACTGAGCTGGGGAAAAATCTTGTCTTACTTCGCTTCCTGGTCTTGGAATAACTTGCAAAACTTACTACATGTAATAATGATCTAGTCCCACTAAATGAATTTAAGGCAATGTAAAATGCCATGTAACTGAGAAATATAACTGCCTCATCCAACGAAGGTTAAAATCAAGGGCAACTGGACTTGGTTGAAGATACTGGAAGACGTTTCGTCCCTCATCCAAAGGACTTCTTCAGTTCTGACTGACTGGCAGGGAAACTCAGCTATTTAACCTCAGTTGGCCCGAGTCATCGGCACGGGTCATCGATACCACTGGTTCGTTAGTGTTCCTGGTTGCTGTGACGACAGTCGTTAAGACAACCTGTGGCCAAGACTGAACGACCATCGTTGGTATCTTCACCTGAGGCCAATAGGTTACGTTTGTTGAGTTTCCTGGGAAGTGATGAAAGGACAGCATTGTAAGTGGTGGCGTTCCACCACTTACAATGCTGTCTTTTCATCACTGTATCTTCAACCAAGTCCAGTTGCCCTTGATTTTAACCTTCGTTGGATAACTATGACCTGGATGACTGAGAATCTTCATTGACATAACTGCCTCATGTGACCTGGATTAGTCCCTTTTCTTTTATGTGATGTTTGTTCGTTCTGACTTTTTTTTCTTTTTAAATTGCAACTGGTGTGCCTTCTTGGCCAGGTCTCCCTCGGAAAAGGGACTCCCTGGTTAAATAAAGGTTAAATTAAAATAATAATAATTCAGATTGCATAAAACTAATGAATTATGCTGAAAATGTAGTTTAACCTTGTATTTAATTTGTTAAAGTTTGTAATTCTTCTAACATCTTTCAGTACTCATTTCATTCTATATCTATAGTCCATTTACTTATTATTTCAGAAGCAATTTAGGGGGGGGTGTTACACATGGTAGCTCCGCTTTAATCTTGAGAAGCTGCAGAGCTGCAGTTAAGTCAGCTAAACTGAGGCTTTTTGAAGAACCTTTTTTTTTCTCTCTCTCGCGTGCATTGCTGACGGCTGCATGCACGTCGTGGTTCCTTGCGGGTCTATTTCAAGTAGCCGGCTGTTTAAAAACGATAATATTCTTTGTTTGGTTCATCAACGGTGATAAATTATCAGTAAGTCCCGCGAGGTGCGGACAACTCGGCACAACACCAGTGAAGCCGGGTCTCTGTCTCTTCAGCAAGTGTTCCTCTTCTGCCACTACACACATAACGCATTAAACGTTTGAAATGTATATTGTAATAGGCTGTATATTAACTTATTGGTAGTTCTGTGTAAAATCAGATGTTGAGCAACCACATATCGCCAAAATGGCGTGATCCTCGTTTTGCTGTGAAGCTGTGAATCAGGCTGATATGTTTTTCATTATCCATGTTTTTTGCTCCAGACAAGCTGGACTTTAAGCGGAGGAGGACGGAGCGCATTCGCAGAGAGAGGATAGACTCCTCTTTAACCAGTGACATGGAGAACAGGAGAAGGTCCCGGGCCAACAGCCAATCAGATCCCATCAGGAGGGGACGGGGCAGACCAAAAACAGTGGGGCTGAAGAAACAGGAAGAGGAGAAAGGTAAAATAAGTGATCATTTACGGTTTCAAACAAAACAACAGTGATGGGAGGGTTCAACCATTTCTCTAACTTTACAAAAAATTACAATGATCATGGTAAACAACTGAGTACAACGATATGAATGCCTTCCATAAGAGACAGTCTGAAAATGGTTTGCCGTTACCCCCATATTTAAACTAAAGCATCCCCCCTCACTGACAGGTTTTCACCACGCCTTCAGTGTGGCCGTTTTTAACAACTATAAACACATTTGATTTCCTATATAATCAGACAGACCCACAAAGCCGGTTAATGACTGCAGCGTCAAGACTAAAGCGGCGTTCCCATTTGTTGCTTACCAGCTGTTATTCATGGCTGTATTTTAGCCCTGGCAGATGTCGGCGATGTGTCAGAAATATGTCGGGGAGCCGTTTTGTTCCGTCGTTGAGTAGTTCACAAATAACAGCCGCTGATTTTACCGCCGATCACAGCCTGACGGTTGCCGAGCAGCAAATCGGGCTAAATCGTGTAGTGTGATCGAGGCTTTAGGGATGCACAGAATGTTCGCCAAAAATAGCACTTTCGGTGTTCGGGCTAATGAGAACAGATAAATTTTACCAAATAATTACGTTGACATGTCGGCAGTGTGAAAGCATTTTAAAGTGAGCGAAAAAGACGCACAAGTCGCCGTTGGCAGCCACTGCTCTGCTGAATTGTATCCCAGCACATCCACTCCATCTGTGGCTGACTTCTTAGAAAAGCAACAAATGGTCTGACCCGCTTTGAGTGTTTATCACTCGTCTGTGAGAAGGCGATTAAGCTAGCCGCATCTACATTTGGAGTGCACACGTATTTAAGCCTTTATGGTAAATCTACTGAAACGGCCCAGATTGAGCTGACAGGCAGGTTAGCGACTTTATACTGTCATTTTCTGTCTTTACAAAGACAAGTGTTGCATTATGAGGCAAGGATTATACTGTCCGCGAGTTCGCAAGGGGCTGCGTGACGAAAAAATTGTCATCAGAGGGTGTACGAGTAGGGTCTGTGCGCCTCTCGTTTTTTATGATCTGGCAGACAGGTCCACGTGGCGACTAGCGCTACCAGGACACCAACCGATCTACTGCGCATGTGTGGAACGTGTCCACCAGCTGCAGAAAGCATTATAAACAGAAGTAGTCCGCATCCGCTCCCAAGTATATTCGAGGCCTGTGCCAAATCTGCTATTTTTCTTTTCATTGTTGAAAATATTTCCATGATTTTACCACAGATTTTTCTTGTTTTTTTCCTGTTCATGGCAAACCACAGGAATATGTTGACGCGGGCCCAATACATTTCTTTAGATGCATCTTTTGTGGTGTGGTCTCAATATTGTTGCAACTTACCCCTAGAACTTACTCGCTACACCCGATCAACACTCGGCACCCCGTAGGGCATGCATCATATCAGTGTCTGGTTCAATCTGTGCTCCAGACTGAACCTGACATTACCGTTCTCAACCCTGTAGGTTTATCTACCCTCTGTCTCACAGTACAGTTGTGATACTTGCTATACTAACAGAAGCAGGTCTGTTTCAAATTCAGCAAATTCAAAGTCAAGTTGATTTATTTCATTAATTCCATTCAAAAAGTGAAACTTGGATATTATATTCATTCATTACACACAGACTGATATGTTTCAAATGTTTATTTCATTTAATTGTGATGATTAAAACTGACAAGTAATAAAAATCCCAAATTCAGTATCTCCAAAAATTTGAATATTACTTAGCCTCTTTAGCGATGACCTTTTGTGTCTTACCCTCCTTGTGCAAGGTGTCAATGGTCATCTTTTGGACAGCTGTCAAGTCAGCGGTCTTCCCCATGATTGTGTAGCCTACAGAACTAGACTGAGAGACCATTGAAAGGCCTTTGCAGTTGTTTTGAGTTAATTAGCTGATTAGAGTGTGGCACCAGGTGTCTTCAATATTGAACCTTTTCACAATATTCTAATTTTTTGAGATACTGATTTTGGGTTTTTCATTAGTTGTCAGTTATAATCATCAAAATTAAAAGGAATGAACACTTGAAATATATCAGTCTGTGTGGAATGAATGTATACATTATACAAGTTTCACTTTTTGGATGGAATTACTGAAATAAATCAACTTTTTGATGATATTCTAATTATATGACCAGCACCTGTAGTTAAATACTGTTTTTCCAACGTGGGACTTCTGCGATTGAATGTGTTTTACTGTGTTCACAGAGAAACAAGAGAAGGAAGTGGATATTTATGCCAGTCTTTCTGATGAGAAGGCCTTTGTGTTTTCTGTGGCCTTGGCTGAGATCAACCGCAAGATCCTGGGTCAAAGACTAATCCTATAGATTAAAGCCTGAATGACTCAGAAAGCCAGAACAGAAAACAAACTATCAAATAGCAAGATGATGACCAAAGAGGGTAGAAGTGGCCACAGCTGAACTTTGACCTGGACATGTTTCACTTGGATGATGGGATGAGATTCAGAAAATTGCTGAAGTTCAGACTGGTGTAGAGGGCTTTTCAGCACCTTAGTAATACACCCACTGCAGACATGCAAACATATGTTCCTGGACTAAAAGCATGTGTTATACATACTGTACATTGTTTTTGATGGAACCGGGAGAAAAGAGGCACTGATGACACCTGTTCTGTAGATACATACGTGTATAATTGTACACCCATCCAGCCCATACTGTGTTCTGAAATACAAATCTCATTAATCTCATTGAAATAAATGCTGTAATCCAGTGCGCGTCTTTTTTTGGTACTTGCATGTTTTCCTATAAACTTAAGACTATACCTGTGTGATCTAGATTGAAGCCTCAATGCCTCAAATGTCAAAAACAGTGGTCTAAAATGGAATAAAGATTTTCTCAACTATGTTGAGTGATCTGATCTCTATATAATGTTGAGCATATAGTGTCCTAGTTCAACCTTTTACTTCACTTATATGTTCCTGGACTATGCATTTCCTTGCAGGGATTAAAAGCATGATATTAACTGCTGCATACAGTACACACCATGAAGATCCATTTTTAGACTATGTCTTGGCGTCTTATTTAAGATAAATTTGTTTGGAAGACGGGTGAAACTAAGTAACAAAAAAAATCCAACAGTGTACTGTAGTAAACTGTCTTCATAACGTGGGAGGTCAGTGCCACAGGTCTGTAGTCCTTGGAGCCACTGGGACGTGACGTGGCGTCTTTGGCACAGGAACGAGGCAAGATGTCTTCCACAGCACAGGGACCCTTTGGAGACTCAGGCTCAGGTTGAAGACATGGTGAAGGACTCCACATAGCTGGGGGACACAGGCTTTAAGCACCCCGAGACGGACACCATCAGGGCCTGCAGCCTTGTTGGAGTGGAGTCTCCTCAGCTGTTCTCACCTGGTCAGCAGTGAGGCACACAAGGGTCACATGTGGGGGAGGGGGAGAGGAGGAGGAGTCAGGCTGGAGAGAGCTGTTAACCTGAGAGCCGGAGGAGGGTGGAGTAGGGGCCTGCCAGGAGGAGGGGGGAGTAGTGGGGTTGGAGGTGTTTGAGGGCAGACAGCAGCTGAGTTAGTGGGGGATGGGAAGTAGCCATAGCATCAAATCTGCTAAAGAACAGATTAAATTTGTTGATCCTGTCCAAGCTGCCTTCAACTCCTCTGCTGCCAGTCGGCCTGAAGCCAGTGATGTTCCTCATGCCGCTCCAGACCTCCCTCATGTTTTTCTGCTGGAGTTTACGCTCCAGTTTCCAAACTAATAATTTCAAGATTGTGGGGGGGGATCGGCTCCCCCCGAAGTTGGACTGATGAATTTGTGTTGTAAAGTGGTAGGTACATAGGGGCTCAGATTAGGGGTGTGAGGAGACACTTAGCTCGGGAGAAATCACGATATAAGGTGCACGAGAACGACACGAAAAGATCCTTGAATAGAGTTTAAAAGATATACTCAATGTTGAGATATAGGCGCGGGGGGTCTGGGAGGACCTCAAATCATCTGAAACTGGTGTGTGTGTATATATATATATATTTTTTTTTAAAGACGAGTAGATTAGATTAAATAGATTCGATTTATTTGCCATTTGCACAGGTACAACACAGTACAGGTACATTGGAATTCTTGTTTATACCTCTCTGAGTCAGCTTTACACACGTGCATAAATACACACTATAATTAAATACTAAATCCCAGTCTGTATGTGAGTGTTGGGAGGTGTTAAAGGGGCTATATGTAGTTTTTCAATGAAATCACTGCTTTATTGTCAGTGGGCTCTAACCTTACTTAGAAATGAAGCACACGCCTGTTTTCTCTGTTGCATGGAACAGCACCTCTTCTGTTATAAATGTGAAGGCATCGGGGCCCTGTTTCAGAAAGCGGGTTTAGTGAAAACTCTGCGTAAGTTGAGCCTGAGATGAGGGAAACTCTGGGTTTTCGGTTTCAGAGAGCGAGATCAGATAAACCCTAGGTTTGTAACCCTGGCAACTTACGCTGTGAACCTAACCTGCTAGGGAGGAGGTTTACTTCAACTAACGCTGAGTTTCTCTGTGACTCCTCCCCTTCTGCGGAGCTTGAAGCGGCTGTCTCACACACAGTTTCATTTCCTCAATTATACTGTCGATATCAAAGCACATATTGGAACGCAATTACGTCTTTAGAAACATCGAAATCACGGCTAAATAGGCCATTTGTTTTCTTTTTTACCCAAAAATGATCTTGAACATCTGTCATCAATGTATGGACAGAAAGTTATCTTTGGACATCGTAAATTTATCCTCAGCACAGAATAAAATCTATAAACTACACTGTCCTTTATAACACAGTGACTCTGTGGACATTAAGGCAAAAAATTTAGGCCCTCTGTGCGCTACAGTGCTGCAGTTTAAAGTAATCTGTACAAAACTGATCAATGAACAGTAACCTTTCATATTGTAGTCGCACAGATTGAACATTCCTATAGTAGTTATCAACTGGATATGATGTGAATATTTCTAAGTGAGGATGACTGGTGCAGCTGAAACAAATAGGCTAAATGTAGTTTAAAAGTGAGTTTTTCATTATCTGGTGATAGTCGGAATGTATTTTAACAGCATTTCATAAAATACGAAATGAGCAAGATTGTGACATAGACGTCTTAAACTTCACAGTCAGTTTGAACCTAGAAACATTTTACATTACAAAAAAAATCATTAATAGGCCTGCTGAGTCGGACTGTCATTTATGATCACAGGTCCATGAGGAGCCTAAACTATGTCTAATCTGTTCGATTAATATTTTCATCTTCCGTTATTGTCACCGGCATTTATTCCCGTCAGGTTCCAGCTGAATAAACAGGCCTGTAGCTATTTAAAATGAATAACAGGCTGGAGGAGAATTCCTGCACTTTATCAATCATTAAGGAAATTCCAGTCTGGTTAATTTTTGTTGTGGCAGCCCGGCTGACGGTGAGTGTCCTGGTTTTTTCTCCTTTTTATCAGTTTTTCAGTTTTTTTCCCCTTGGTTTCCTGTTCTCTGCCCGCCTCCCTGAGCACCCCTGTGTGCTCTCTCTCCCTCTGCTCCTGAGCCCAGCCAACTACCTGCACCTGCAACTCATCAGCCACCTCGTCAGCCTGCCACACCTGCCAGTAATCACCTCATGACTGCCTGTATTTCAACCCCGGTTCTCCACACCATCCTCGCTTGATCGTCGTTGCTCCATACCTGGTGCCACTTCCGTGTTCAAGCTTCCAGCTTTCTTGTTTTTTCACACTTACCCTGTGCCTTGTCATTGTCTTCCCTAACCTGGTCTCTCTGTCTGTTTCCCTCCCAGGTACACTCACCCTCGTCCTCCATTCGGCTGGGCTCGTCCACTGG